GATCCTTACAAAAGGACAACCATCTGTGCAGCAATCCACCAATCAGACCTGTATGGTAGAGCGGCCAGACGGAAGACACTCCTCGCCTGGAATTAGCTAAAAGGCATCTGAAGGACTCTCAGACCATCAGAACCTAAACTCTCTGCTCTGATGAGACTAAAATTCAACTTTTTGGAGTGAATGCCAGGCGTTACGTTTGGAGAAAAGCAGGCAGCACCCATCACCAGGCTAATAGCATCCCTACAGTGAAGCATGGTGGTGTTGGCATCATGCTGTGGGGATGTTTTTCAGCAGCAGGAACTGGAAGACTAGTCCGGATAGAGGGAAAGATGAATGCAGCAATGTACAGAGACATCCTGAATGAAAACCTGCTTCAGAGCGCTCTTGACCTCAGACTGGGGCGGTGGCTCATCTTCCAGCAGGACAATGACCCAAAGCACACCGCCAAAATATCAATGGAGCGGCTTCACAACAACTCTGTGAATGTCCTTGACTGACCCAGCCAGAGCCCAGACCTAAATCCTATTAAACATCTCTGAAGAGATCTGAAAATGGCTGTACACCATTGCTTCCTATCCAACCTGATAGAGCTTGAGAGGTACTGCAAAGAGGAATGGGCAGAAATTCCCAAAGACAGGTGTGCCACGCTTGTGGCATGATATTCACAAAGACTTGAGGCTGTAATCGCTGCCAAAGGTGCATCAACAAAGTGTTGAGCAAAGGCTGTGAAAACTGATGTACATGTGATTTTTCAGCTTTTTTATTTGTAATAAATTTGCAACAATTTCAAAAACCTTTTTTTCACACTGTCATTATGGGGGATTGTGTGTAGAATGTTGAGGAAATCAATTGATTTAATCCATTTTGGAATAAGACTGTAACAGAAAAAAAGTGGAAAAAGTGAAGCGCTATGAACACTTTCCGGATGCACTGTAACTGCATTATTGGTGGTCTGCCAGTTATTATTGGCTCTTAGAAGCTATGCATTATGTTCATGTATAAATCAGATCACAAATGGCATGCATGGAGAGTTAAAACTCATGTAGTTAATTTGGTTGCTGCTATACATGGTGATTCTGAATTGCAATAATGCAAAATAAATCATTTCAGGAATCAAACTCACTCAAATGTAAAAAAATGTTAGACGTGCATAGTTTTTTGTAACATTTATTTAGATTTATTAATATTGTGGGTGACTTGGTGGCTCAGTGGCTTAATGCTTCTTTTATCCTCATTTGTAAGTAGCTATGAATAAAAGCATCTTCTAAATTAATAAATCATTCATTTTCCTTCGGTTTAGTTCCTTTATGCATCAGAAGTCGCCACAACTGAATGAACCGCCAACTGATCCAGCATAGTTTTTACATAGTGGATGCCCTTCCAGCTGCAACCCAGTATTGAGAAACATCCATACACACTCATACACTACAGCTAATTTAGTTTATCCAATTCACCTTTAGCGCATAGCACAGGAGAACATGCAAACTCCACACAGAAATGCCAACTGACCCAGCTGAGGCTCGAACCAGCGACCTTCTTGCTGTGAGGCGATAGTGCTATCTACTGCACCACCGTGCCGCCCAGTTCATTTAGTTGAATCGTTTCTCACGTCAAGCTTTACAATCTCCATTTACTACTGTTCGTTATTTCTAACTGTGTCCTGATTATTTGTTTGTTTTTTTCTCCAGGCATGATTTTATTATTTTTCAGGAGCCTGATCAACCGCCTGTTAACCTCACAGAGAACGGCTTCACTCATAAGGTGCACACATTCATTCATGCACAATTTTCAAAACTCAATTTCTGGAGCACTCGAATAAACCTCCACGTCTCTTTCTTCATCAGGTGCGCCTGTGCTTCCTCAACGGAAACCATTACGACAGTGTTTACCCTGAATCCTTTGAGAAAAATGCTGCTGTATGTCAATGTGAGTGCTGATTCTTTAAGATATAATACTGGATTGTGCTTTTAGCATCTTATCGACACTAAAGTATCTTATAACAATTCCTACTGCTGAAATCAGCTTCCAGAAATGATCAGATGTGCTCCAACTTTAGGCACATTCACATCAAGACTTAAAGCACATCTGTTTAGCTGTGTCTTTACTGAATGAGCACTGTGCTGCGTCTCGCACATCACACTCTTATGTCTTTCTTTTCTTTTTCAATTCTTTTAAATCCTGTTTTAATGTGTTTTATGCTGTTGTTTTAGGGTGCTTTCACACCTACACTTTTGTTTTGGAACTTGTCTCGATTGGCCAGTTAGCGCGGTTCCTTTGGCATATGTGAACAGGGCAATCGCGCTCTGTTCCGCGCCAAAGTAATCGCTCCGAGATCGCTTGAATGAGGTGGTCTCGGCTCGATTGAAACGAACCCTGGAGCGGTTCGATTGCAGTGAGAAAGCGATCCTAGTGCGGTTATATCACAGTGTTTTATGGATATGTAATAGGCTTACGGCTATATGAAGAGAGAATTATGAGTATGGCGGGAACTTTTGCGAGTCTCCGGATGCCCGCAAACGAGTGATGATCTCCCGGTAATTTTGCGTCTCCCTCCCGGTCCTTAAATAGGCTACGTCGCGCACCCTTCTCACCCCTCCCCACCGCATCTCTCCTCAGACACATCACGCATGCGCACCCTGTCAATCACCCTCAAACCACCACCTCTCCTAATAACAGTTTAGCGGGATGCTGCAAAATAAACCCTGACACTCTGACCAATGTGAGGAGAGTTTACTCACACGTGACTTGTTTTAGCTCTTTTGGTCCGATTAGAAACTTTGCAGTGTGAAAGTGAACCGCTCCAAGAGCAAAGAGCAACAATGTAACATTTATAATCTCTGTTTCGGAACAGCTGAATGGATTCACAGGTGTGAAAGCACCCCTAATTCTCTCTCTTACTCTTGTTTATGTATAGCACTTTGAATTACCATTGTCTGTGAAATGTGCTATATTAATAAACTTGCCTAAACATCTGTCCACGTCTAGCGATCCTGTACGAGCTGCTGTATGAGCGAGTGTGTGGCGTCGAACGCAACGTTGTGGGATCATGTGTGAAAGGAGGACGAGGACGAGATAGACAGGACTCAGAGGAGTGCAAGAGCAGTGAGGAGTCTGAGCTGGAGGAAGACGACTTCTGGTACACATTTACCTGCTTGAATCATTTACATTCATTCATTTTCTATTTGGTTTAGTCCCTTTATTAATCCGGGGTCGCCACAGCGGAATGAACCGCCAACTTATCTAGCAAGTTTTTACGCAGCGGATGCCCTTCCAGCCACAACCCATCTCTGGGAAACATCCACACACACATTCACACACGCACTCATACACTACAGATAAATTAGCCTACCCAATTCACCTGTACCGCATGTGTTTGGACTGTGGGGGAAACCGGAGCACCCGGAGGAAACCCACGCGAAGGCAGGGAGAACATGCAAACTCCACACAGAAACGCCAACTGAGCTGAGGTTTGAACCAGCGACCCAGCGCCACTGCCTCGCTCTTGAATCATTTACATTCAGTGATTTAGCACTGAACTGTAAGTTTAGTGACTTACAGTTAAGGAGGCATGCAGCAATTCAACAGGAAGAGGCAATACACATAATAATACAAAGGAACTGTTTAGCTTAGAGAAGTGAATGCTAGAAAAAAAAAAGGGGGGGGGGGTTATTATATTGATCGGTTTGTCAAGCACATTTTTTTCCTAGAAATATGGAGTGATTGTAAGAGAGTGCCTGATGCAAATGTGCAAGAACTGGTACTGGTGCAAGTTTTAATAAAAGTGTCAGAGAGATAAAAGCAGTTCTTAATTTGTGCATCATGAGGTCCTGAAACAGATCGAGGTAACTGATCCGGCATGCTACCTGAGGATGTAGAGGTGTCGCGCATGAAAGTTGAGAGCGGGGCGTTGGATATCGGAGGGGTGTCGCGGATGTAAGCTAATAGCCAGTGCGGAGGTTGTTGTTGTGGAAGAAAGTGAAAAGGGTTGGGGAGTCGCGGAACAATGTGAAAGTGAACAGCACATGGAGGAGGAGAGGGGGTGAGGAGGGGATCAGTAAAATGAGGTTCATCAGAATTCAGAGGTGCTGGATCCGGCGTGTTCCAGCACAAATTAAAGTGTGTTTTCTACAGGTGGTTTGTCAAGCCCACTCACCTGTGTGAGGCGCACTCAGAATTGCATAATGTTTTGAGGTTGGGGTTGTGGTTTGGGGGAGAGAAGACATTACACAAATCTAATCTATTGATTCCAGAATTGTGAAGGGTTTTGGTTATTGTTGATGAAAGTATGATGCTATGTTTGTGCTGGTTTTGGCATTTCTTATGCTGCGTTCACACCAGATGCAGGTGAAGCGTCAAGCGCAAGTGATGTACATGATAAGTTAATGCAAAGACGCAAATAGACATCCTGTGGCACGTTTTGTGCGAATGAGGTGACGCGATTCACTTGAATAAAGCGGTGCGACTTTGCACATTTGATGCATTTCTCGTAAATCGCTGGAGTTGGAAAATCCTAACTTCAGCAGACATTCACGAGCTTGCTCTTGTAGGGGAGTCATTATGTTTTGCCTGTTGGTGTTCTGAGGGGAAGCCCTTTCGCCGACACCGGAAAACAGTTCATCAGACTGGGCTCGGCTCATTCTGGAGCACCACTGAAAGCGTCCATCATCCAGGTATAGTTTCTGGAGAAGTTGATGAACTCAGAGCTGGGTACACTTCTGAAAGATCTAGTGGACTCCGACACCGTGCTGAATGAATCTATGCTGTTTTTCAGCCTCCCTAAAGCACATAAAGCCCAGCTACTCTCTCAATAAAATCCATGTTCCATGAGTCACTGGGCAGACAGAAGCCCCGCCCATGATGCGAATCCGCTACCATTGTGAAGTGTATGTGACACACGAAATGTTCACTTGTCTATTTAGGCTTGAATATCGCACAATTTGACATGACATTTATTGCCATACTGAAAGCATCAGCAGATATTGAAAATTAAAAATGACTGGTAAGTGGTTTGACTTAATGTAAACCAACAAAATCAGTCACTCCTATGTGTGCGCTATGTTCTTATAATAATGTTAAGTAGGTTTAATTTGTATTAATTAGATTACAACCCTTATCATTTCATTGGAGTGCAGTGGCTCATATTTATGTTTCTGTTGTGTTGAGTCACGTTTGGTGTGGACAGACAAATTGCTTGTTGCTAGAATCTTGCGTGATGTGTATACATAAACCTATAGACAGTGTAATCTATAGGTTTATGTATGTTTTTTTAGTTCAGTCAATTGCAATGGATACAATAATATCTTGCTTATGATTACACTATAGACTAGGGCTGTGCAATTAATCGAAAATCGGTTTCAATTTCGATTATGGCTTCTAACGATTATGAAAAACCCTTAATCGAGATAAACGATTATTCCATCATATACCGCCTCCTTTCCAGTTCCACGTGAAAGTGACTGAAAGATGTGCTGTAATGTAACTTTTGCAGCATGGGATGCGCATCATTCATATTTTTAAAAGCGCGAAAGAGCACGTGCTGTTGTGTGTGTGCACGCTGCGCTTAGCCTCGGACAGGTATTGTGTTTGTGTGTGTCTGTGTGCGCGCGGTCCGCGCTTAGCCTCGGACAGCAGAGAACACGCACATCTAACGCCATCCTAATGCGAGCGCTTTAATGGTCAAATATATGCACGGTGTTTAGTGATTATTCATATTAACCCTCACTTGTGTAATAAACAAACAAGTTGAGAATCAAAAGACACGTGAAAGAGAAACCATATCGGAGCCGCACTATTCTTAAAGTGACAGCGTGCGATATTTCTGCTGCTGTTTTTATTATTAATCAAACAACAAAAGCAGAAAATCCCTCACTGCTCTTGACTGAAGGACTTTTGTAGTTAAAGTGTTATCTTACAGTGAAGATGCTTAAAACACATAACAGGTTTAATAGCTCATTTCTAATAACTGATTTTTTTATCTTTGCTATGATGACAGCACATTATATTTTACTAGATATTTTTCAAGATTCTAGTATTCAGCTTAAAGTGACATTCAAAGGCTTAATTAGAGTAAATAGGCATGTCATTATGTAACAGTAGTTTCTTCTGCAGACAATCAAAACTGTATATTGCTTAAGGGGGCTAATAATATTGAGCTATTAAAATAGGTTCAAAATATTTAAACCTGATTTTTTTTCTAGCTGAAATAAAACAAATAAGCCTTTCTCCAGAAGAAAAAATATTATTGGAAATACTGTGAAAAATTGCTCTGATAAACATAATTTAGGAAATATTTGTATATAAAAAAAAATTCACAGAGGGGCGAATAATTTTGACTTCAACTGATAATCGTTTTGAATAATCGTGATTACAATGACCAAAATAATCGTGATTATGATTTTTCCCATAATCGAGCAGCCCTACTATAGACCATTTTGAGAGATGTAAACAATAACAATGGTCCTAACGTATTTCCTGCTCTACAGTTTTAATTTTCAAAGCTTCAGAGAATTCTGAAATGTTTATATATTGACAAAGTTATGACAGCTGTTTTCCATTTCTGAATTCCCTCTTGTTACAGTTATTAAAATAGTTTGACAGCAAGCAGGAAATGTTCATAGGCCAATCACATCACCACATTGAAGTGGTCTATAATCAGTGGTGTAAAGTAACTAATTACAAAAACTCAAATGACTGTAATTTAGTAGTTTTTATAAGAAATTGTAATTTACTGAATAGTTTTATAAATGTGGACTTTTTTAGTTTTTATTTTTTTATATTTTTAGTGCTGTATCTATACTTTTACTCCCACGTTCCTTCAGCCTACAGTCACTACTTTCTTGTTTATGGGGATTAGAAAAATCAGTCCTCTAACTCCTGTCCAATCAAATCTCACATAGAACTACCTCAAGACATGTGCACTTTACACTGCAGCAAACTGTGTGGAAGCATTAAAAGTGTCCAAGAAGATGTTCAAAATCTTTATACGCATTGACCCAGAGACTGTTTAGATCAGGGATGCCCAAACACAGTCCTGGAAGGCTGATGTCCTGAAGATTTTAGCACCAACTTGCCTCAACACACCTGCACGGATGTTTCTAGAAAGCCTAGTATGAGATTGATTAGCTAGCCCAGGTGCGTCTGATTGTGATTGGAACTAAACTTTGCAGGACACCGGCCCTCCAGGACTGAGTATGGGCACCCCTGGTTTAGATGCATGTCACTGATGAGAAGATGATGGATATTTACTGTATGAGGACCGAAATGGCCTTAAACACCCAGCAGGCACAAGACGTCAACATGCCGTCAGATTGACATTGTACCCTAACGTCGTGGAGACGCTGCATTTTGTTTATAAATGAAAATCGAGTTTATATCAGAACTCACATCAGGCCAACGTCAATGTCCAACCAAAAACCAACCGAATATCAACGTCCAATGATGTTACAGCTTGACGTTCTGTCGACGTTCCCACTATGACGTCTATCAGACGTTGAATTTTGGTTGCCATAACTGATGAATAAATGTTAGTATTTGGCATCAATAGGATGTTGTTGGCTATAGTTGGATTTTGGTCACTTTCTAACGACCTAAAATCAACCAAATATTAACGTCATTTGATGTCATTATTGGGCATCAAAATAATGTTGTCCTTAAACGCTGGCTAGACATTGAATTTTGGTCACCTGACATCACAACCTAAATCTAACCAAATATTAACGTCTTATGATGTTGTGTGCCTGCTGGGCAATCACTAAATGCACTACAGAATGTTACGTTTACACACAAACACATCCACAAATTACATGTAAATGCATCAGCTTTATACAGCGTAATACTCACTACTCATGAGCACTTTTAAAAGGGCTACTTTTTACTTCACTTTAAGTAATATTTACAACAGGTACTTTTACTCTACTCGCACTACATTTTTAGGCAAGTAATGGTACTTTTACTTAAGTATGCTTTTTCAGTACTTTTTCCACCACTGCCTATAATAGTACCTCAGTGATACTAAAACTACTCTTGATTTGTGTATTTGCATTTGTTAGGTCTACTGAACCCAGAGAGAAGACGAGCAACGGGATGAATGCCAGACCACCGCAAAGGGTGCTTATGTTAAGCTTCATTCTCTCTGTATATTTCTCACAGATTGAAGTCAGCGTTTTGCTACTCTGACTTTGTAATATGATGATATATTGTGTATAACAGAGCTATATATTTGTGCAGGGTCGTGGGAGGGGCTACTCAAGAGGAAGGGGGCGGGAATTTTTGTCCACTAAGGTGCAGAAGTCCCTAAACCCCACCCTCTACAGGAACGTGGAGTATGACGTGTGGCTCCGTTCGAAACGACGTACGTCAGTTTTTGTGTTGCGATTCTGAAATGTAATTAGCATCTTGATGAAATCACTTTAATATCTGTGTGTTTTTAGTCCAGCAGCAGCGAGACTTCTGCATTGCCGCAGGGATGCAGTACTCAGTCGGAGACAAGTGCAAGGTTAGCAGTGTGTTGACAACTGTTTTCTGTATTTAATTTTGATTTATTTTTAAATACTTGCACAGTGTCTAACTGAAGCCCATAATACAGTGGTTCTCAAACCTTCCTTAAGCACCATCTCAGAAAAAAATTGTCTCTCCAAGTACCACCAAAATGAGCAGTATTGAAATACAATAGCGTAGTAGGCCGAGTAAAGCAGCTACACCTCTGCACAGTTAAAAAAACGTGGCAGATTACCTCAGAAATATAGGCTACAGTATATGTCATATATAGCATATTATATAGAGCATTTTTGGTAAATTTATTAATGTTTGTAGCATGTACATGACATATTTCATTCCTCTGTGTACCACTAGAAGGAAGCCTGCGTACCATTACTGGTACATGTACCACAGTTTGAGAACCACTGCCATAATACAAGGGGTGTGTGCAGTAACTATAGTGGAGATATTAAAATTAGCCTCAACCGGAAATTGCAGAGACTTTCATGTCAGTATGCTGATGTACTTCAAACTGAATATTGAGTAGGGGCGGGGCTCTTTTACAAATCATTTTCTTGTAGCTAACTAATGGTAAGAGGGGCGTGGCTAAGAATACTGTGGCTGAAGTTTCAAACTGACATCATCAGAGAAGGAGCCAATCCAAACGCAGAAGCAGATGGTCATACTTTGATTGCAGATTACCAAAACAAACATAATTATTCCAGTGGATTAACTTCACCTGAAGTATAAGGGTCTTTGCACACTGAAGTCTGGAATTTTCATGTGCATTTTTTTTTATACTCGTCACAGAAATTTTTAACATACTCAAACCGTGCACACTGAATCTGCTGCATATTAATTACAGGGTTCTTACAGGTGCTGGAAATCCTGGAAAATGCTTGATTTTCTATATAGTGTTTTCAAGGTTAGAAAAGTGCTTGGATTTTGGACAAAGTGCTTGAACCTGCTTGACTTTGAATTTGCTGGGCTCAAAATTGTGACTGTTTTGATTGCATATTCGCACAATTTTATCTTTGTGACCTCAAAATATATTCGGGAGCATATGTGCGAGTGCATAAATTGTTGTTGTGCGATCAGTTTTCATTGCAAAATTTTCATCGCATGTACGTATTTATGGAGCTAATATTTTTGTGTTCAATTGAATTATTAACAATTGTAAGTTAATAATACTGATTATAACCTATTAGAAATGTTTTGAATTTGTATTTCTTAACTTGGTTATTGAACATCTGAAATTTAAGACAATTTAGTTTTTTTAAGTCAGATTTTTATAGACATATTTTTAAACTTCTGATCTTTTTTGGTTCTGAATTCAAAGACTGCAGATATTGGGTATGTAAAAATACAGTTTTAAGTTTTTAAGAATTCAAATTAACACAATTCAAATTCAGATTGTTTTAGCACTATTAGCTTTCTATGTATTTAGGAGACATTCACCCAGAATGCATCTTTGCACCTGAAACACCAATCCAATGACTGTAAAAACTATGCACATGAAATATCATGAACAACTGGTCATGAAAGTTTGGTAACAAAACCCAAACAAAATCTGACTGTAAGCTTATTTCTTGAGATATTAACTTTAGGTAGAAAGAGACCAAACTTAAAAACATCCAATAACTGAACTTTTTTTGTTTATTTATTTATTTATTTATTTTTTATCACTTTTAGGTGAACTATCCCAATAAATCTATGCTTGAAAGTACTCAAGAATTTAAGTTGAAATGTCATATTGTGTTTTTTAAAATGGCTCAGTGAAATGTGCCATAAATGTAAATAAGTACATAAACGTAAATAACTGTGGTTATTAGGTGCTGGAAAAGCATACAAATGCACCTTGAAAGTGCTTGAAAAGTGCTGAAGTTGGAAAAGGTGTAAGAACCTTGTATTTAATCAATTAAAAAAACGCAAAACATTTCAGTCAATTCAAACTCATAATGGTAAATCACAAACCTTTTATCGATGATTTTTCCCACAATTGACAGCAAGAATGAACATAGAAGCGTTGTCTGATTGACATGCAGCACCTACATGTGTTCTAAAGAATTTAAAACGCCAAATATGACGAATTTATGCATATTTTTGTAAGGAAAACGTAATAACAGTATTTTGCTATCCGCATGTACGGTGGCTCTGAACTGTCAAAACACCTGTTAAAACTCATTTTGGGATACGAAAATAAAAAAATATATAACCATGTATGATTTTTTTTTTTATGACGAGCGAAACTTTTGTAGGCAGTGTGTCAATATTTGACACATTAGGTCGAATTAATTTTTTATGTAAAAATTACGGACGAAATTTTCAAATCCAATGTACAATAACCTTAACAATGTGTACTAGCAAAATAAACATTGTTAATATTTATTTCAGACTGACTTGAAAAAGGGTTGAGGTCTTGTTGTGATGTGGACGTGTTTGTTTTGGTGCTCTCAGATGTCATTAACATTTGTCAATTTGCTTGGTGCACCTGTAAGCAATTTTGACCGCAAGCTTGTTCTCTTCTTGAACTTGTTCAGGTGCAGCTGAGTGGCAGCAATCGGCTCTATAGTGCTTATGTTAAAGAAGTCAGTCCAGACAATGGGCCAGTCACTGTCTTTATTGAGGAACTCAACAAACAGTATGTGTTTTTATTATTTAACTATACATGTGTGTAGGGCTGCATGATATTGGAAAAATCTAACATTGCAATATTTTTTCATTCTGCGATATGAACACAATTTCGCTAGATGTGTTGAATAGCTATTTGAAAAGAATTGATCATTTTGGATTGATTTGGATGATTCTGTAGAGGAGTGCATATGCACAACATTTAAGAAACAATCTACAATCGTAAATGAATTCAGTAAAGAAATACAGTTGAAGTCAAAATTATTAGCCCCCTTCGAATCTTTTTCTTCTTTTTTTATATTTTCCAAATGATGTTTAACAGAGCAAGGAAATTTTCACAGTATGTCTGATAATATTTTTTCTTCTGAAAAAAGTCTTATTCGTTTTATTTCGGCTAGAATAAAAGCAGTTTTTCATTTTTTAAACACAATTTTTAGGGTAAAATTATTAGCCCCTTTAAGCTAATTTTTCTCGATAGTCTACAGAACAAACCATCATTGTACAATAACTTGCCTAATTACCCTAACCTGCCTAGTTAACCTTATTAACCTAGTTATACCTTTAAATGCCACTTTAAGCTGTATAGAAGTGTTTGAAAAATATCTAGTAAAATATTATTTACAGTCATTCCGGCAAATATAAAATAAATCAGTTATTAGAAATGAGTTATTAAAACTTTTATGTTTAGAAATGTGACAAATTTTTTAATCTACATTAAACAGAAATTGAGGAAAAAAATAAACAAGCGGTCTAATAATTCAGGGGGGCTAATAATTCTGACTTCAACTGTATATTGTATTGACAGTCCTAGTCAGGGGTGTCAAACTCAGTTCCAGGAGGGCCGCAGCTCTGCACAATTTAGTTCCAACCCTAATTAAACACACCTGATCAAACTAATTGAGTCTTTCAGTCGTGTTTGAAACCTATAGGCAAGTATGTTGAAGCAGGGCTTGAACTAAACCGTGTAGGGCAGCGACCCTCCAGGATTTGAGTTTGACAAAGTCTTTGTATGTTTTATTTTTTATTTTTAAACAGCAGTGCGCTGGGCTTGGCTGTGGATTTTTTTTTTTGTTTGCAGAATTGCATAGCACAATGAAGTCACCAATGTTTATCCATGCATATCATCTTGTTTTATTCATCTAAACTTTAATCAAAATAATCCCCTCTATCTTTGTTCCTCATGGACAAAATCAAGCCTCACCCTACAAAACCCATTGAATTCAGAAAAGACTATCACAATTTCCATTTCATGCAATTTGCATTATACAACCAGAGCAGTTTTTAATATATATCATAATACCATATGTAATACAGCAGGTTATACATAAATAATTGCTACTGTGTTTAAATGATACTCTTGCTTGTATGTGTTCAGGCAAACGGTGCCGTTGTTAAACTTGCGTCTTCCGTCTGAAGAGCCTCAGTCTTGGCACACGGTGTCAGAGAGGGGAAAAAGACAAGCTGCGCCAAACAATGGTGCGCAAATTCCTTCGGGTAGGTTTTACAAATCAAAAACACACCTGAATGAGATCAGCTCATCCGCATTTACTGTCTTGGTTTTCTGCAGAATGGGAAAGCAGAGGAGGTCGGAGGCCAAACAGAATGCAGTCTCAGTCGGCACCCAGCGTTCGTGTACATAAGCAACACTCCTGGCCTCCGCAGGCCACAACTGATGATGCAAGAAACAAGTTCAGGTTCATAAGCCTGTTTTTAAGAAGACATCACAATTAATGCTTGCATTTGCTCAAGAGAAGTTTTCTAAAGATACTAGAGTTTCCATAGTTTTGATATAAGAATACTTTAACCTTCATGAAGTTCATTTATAGATTTTCGAGAGGATCACGTTCACCAATCATAAGATTCCTACACCTAAATTCCATATCACAGCTATCTTTGTTTTGAAGAACTCCCCCTTCCACACCTACTCCTCCTCCTTCCTAGATGGGTAGCACCATAGCTCAGTGGTTAGCACGGTTGCCTCACAGCAGGAACGTCACTGGTTCTAGTCTTCACCAAGCCAGTTGACTTTTCTGTGTGGAGTTTACACGTTCTCCCCGTGCTCACGTGGGTTTCCCCCGGGTCCCCTGGTTTCCTCCTATTGTCCAAAAACATGCAACTTAATTTAATTGACTAATCCAAATCGGCACCATAGACATGCTCCTTGTAAGTAGTTATCTCTTAAGAGCAATAACTATCTGTTCATTAGTAATTACAGTAGGGGAATTCTCCAGATCTACCTGAGCTCAAACTCCCCTCTCGCCTTGCAACGGGAGGGAGCTCCGCGCTCGAGGATCTTATAAGCTCAGGGCGCTCTCCCGGGAAAGCCAAACAAGCTTTATAATCAATCATCAGCCATGTGTGAACTCTAGAATTGACTCTTAGTATGATGTGTTAGCAGACGGTCTGATCAGCGCAGCAGTCCTGTGTGTATTCTGCCAGAAGAGGAAGAGGAAAGCGTTGTTTTGGAGCTTCTGCACAAAGATGAGCACAACTTCCCCTCACTTGGACCCAGCCCCCAAACGGTGAATCCATCACATTCTGCTTGCATAATATGGTGTGAAACATGGGCTTTGGGTAGAAATAATGATAATCATGCATACCATTCATACCAAGGTGTTTATTAACAAGTTAATTAGTACCATATTTTATTGACTTGAAACTCAATTTAATATTTTTTAAAAATCTTTGTTGCACTTAGTACATTCCTTAAAAACAAACATACAAATGCATGCGTTTTCTGAACTTAGGCCACTCCTGGTGAGGTCATAAAGAAAGGAGGGGAAAAGAAAAGCCATCGGAAAAAGGAACAGAAGGAGAACTTCATGGAGACAGGTTGGCAATAAAGCTCTGCCCTTTAATATGCTAGTATTGCTGGTCATAGAAATGTTCTTGTAAATAGGACCATTCTTAATGTTTATTTTGGTTTACTGCTTTCAGAAGCATCTCAGAAGCCTTTACAGAGGCAGAAGAGTGGGACTGAAGAAAAACATGGGGTGAGAACATTGCGAATACAATCATCTAAACCAGGGGTCATCAAACTTGTTCCTGGAGGGCCGGTGTCCTGCAGATTTTAGCTCCAACCCTAATCAACCACACCCGAACCAGCTAATCAAGGTCTTACTAGGTATACTTGAAACACCCAGGCAGGTGTGTTGAGGCAAGTTGGAGCTAAACCCTGCAGGGTCACCGGCCCTCCAGGACCAGGATTGGTGACCCCTGATCTAAACCAATTGTTCAATATCTTCTGTTAAAATATTGGCATTATGCCTATTTAATAGGCTATGCTATAAACTAGTATGTTTATAGTAATCCATTCTGATTTCCTAACCAGCCAATGACTTCTATACTATTTTCTAGATAAAGTTTTCTGAGGAACCAAGGCAAAGGTCTTCTTCAACAATAAACGAGAAATTACAAGAGAAACCTATCCCTGTCGCTGCTTCTCCACCTTCACCTGCTATCTTCTTATCTGGTCCCAAAACACCCATTTCTTCATCTAATTCTGCCACTTCCCCTGATCCTAACCGGTCTGCTCCTGAGGCAGTTAAAAAGGCAACCATCCAACCTAAGTCTAGCCCTGCTCAAAACCCTGACAACAGTCATTTGGAACCAGTGTCAACTTTAGCCTCTTTACAGCACATCTCTAGGGTAGCACCAGTCTCAGAAACCACTCCTGCCTCGCAGTTTATCTCTGGTGCAGCACCAGTGTCAGTTGTCCCACCTGCCTCACAGTCTATCTCTGCCACCACTCCTGCCCCACAGTCTATCTCTGCTGCAGCACCAGTTTCTGTTTCCACCCCTGCCTCAGACTCTATACTTGTGGCAGCACCAGACTCAGCTACCACCCCTGCCTCACAGTATATCCCTGGGTCAAGGGCAGTCTCAGTTAGCACCCCTGCCCCACAGTCTATCTCTGGGGCAACAGCAGTCTCATCTAACACCCCTACCCCACACTCCATCTCTAGGGCAACAGCAGTCTCAGTTACTGCTCCTGCTCCACACTTCACCTTTGTGGCAACAGCAGAATCCATTTCCACCCCTTCCCCACACTCTATCTCTGGAGCAACAGCAGTTGCCACCCCTGCTCCTATTCAATCTGCACCTGCACTAAATTCTACCAAACCCTCATTCCAAATGGCCCAATTGCCTACAGTGGAGCTCCTGCCCAGAACTGAAGCACCATCTCAGTTCACCTCGGTTGAATTGGTTGCATCTCAGATCACCCTAGTCCCTTTACCTACTTCTACCCCAACCCAAACTACTCTGGCCCCTACTTGCCCAATCCCAGCTGCCCCAGTTGAATCCAGCTTGTGCATTCAAACTTTGCCACCAGCCAATACTTCTACTCTATCCCCAACACCATCATCCACAATACCGATTTCTGCACAGGCTCAGGTTGCTACCCCTGTATTAGATTCCCCAGGCTTGTCTTCTACCCCACATCCTATTCATGCAAACAATGCTCCACCAATTCCCAAAAAGACTGTTGATCCTCAAACCACTATGATGCCAGTCCCTCTTCCCCATGCTGCTCCCACCTCTATCTCCCCATCTATTGGTTCTGCTAATGCTTCACCTCCTGACTTACCTCTAGTCTCTCCAAAAGAATCAGTCCCATCTGCTTGTGAAACATCAACCATACCTGCCTCTGGTAAGTTTTGACTATTGAGGTTCAATCTTGGACATTTACTTTCGTAAAAGATAATGTGCAAGAATTTAGGAGTGCAGCAGAATGTCAATATGGAAGTCTGTCACAAGGACATCTTTTTACTTTATGGTAGTACCTTAAGGGTACCAAATACAACTTTAGATAAGGTAGAAACTTGTCCTGTTAGAGTATGGCGCCAGTGACAAGCTTTTGTACTCCTAAAATTGCCATTTCAATTATCACATTTTTTCTCAGTTCACAGAAACTGCAGCAAACCTGGTTACAAATGCTGAAATTTTAGTAGACTCATTGAGTTCTCTTAAAACATCTGTTGTCCTTCAGGTGCAGCGCCTGTTGTTGACCACCCATCCCAACCCCAACACCTGCCCTTTCCTCAAGTCCAGTGGTCTCAGCTCCTACAGGACCCAGTTTATCCAGGATTTCCACAGAATGAGAAGGGACAGTTGGAACCACCTCCACCGTTTTCCTACTCCCAGAAAGGAGAGGACCTACCGAAAGGTAATGAAGTTCCTACAAATCCATTAATAACCTACGAAAAACTATGTGGAAAAACATTTGCTGTCTATTGCCATTGATTATTGTATTCAAGGGTTAAACCAGGTGTCCAAACTCTGTCCTGGAGGGTTGGTGTACTGCAGATTTTAGCACCAACTTCAATTAGAAACCCCTAAATCAGCTAATCAAGCTTTTATGAAGCATACTAGAAACTTTCTTGAGAGTAGGTTATGGCAAGTTGAAGCTGAAGTTTGTTAGACATTGGCCCTTCAGGCGTGAGTTTGGGTACCTCTGGGTTAGACTTGTTGTTGGATGATTTTAACGTTCAAGACTTAATGGCCAAGTAATTTATCATTTTTAATAATTAAAATGCATGTTTTTATTATTTTAGATATTAGTGTCCTCAAGTTCTTCTTCAACCTTGGGGTCAAGGTACACAATTTCAAATATTTGCATTTGTTGCTTCATTAAAGGCATATCAATATATGTTCAACTATATTGAATTACAACAAATGTAATGTTCTCCCAATTTCCTCAGGCTTACACCCAGCCAATGTTTCCTCCTATTGTATATCTGGCACCACTGAACCAAGCCTACCTTAGAGGTCCTTCTCCTTCCTCTGACTCTCCTGCTAATCCCACCATAACTTCGTGGCAGCCAGAAAACCCTTCTTCTCAGCCTCAAAGTTTGAGCTCCATGGTTGACACCCCATTGGACAGCCATGCTCCAATTGCACCTGTAGCAGCTGGTAGCAGTCCTGTTGATCCCATAGAGGTAAGAGGATACAACGATCCTCCATCGATTCCAATGCATGTGCCACCAAGACCACCAATGCCTTGGTCAGCTCCTTCTGTTTCAAGTGCCTATCCTGGGGGTTACCCAACTACTCCTCCAGTGCAGTTTTCCACACCTCCATATCCACCCCCTGGGAATCAGATGTATCCACCATCATCTGTTGGATACCATCGTATGCCATTTCCACCAATGCCTTTAGAAGCAATAAACCATGGGCCTCATGGTCCGATTGATGTCTTGCCTTTTGCTCGCCCCACACTTGAAAGAGGTCAAGAGAATGGTCAGTTGTCAATAAACCCCCAATTTAGGTCTGTACAGAACTCTGCTGGCTTTCCTGGAGGCCAACCTCATTTTTTGAGTGGTGTAGATTTCAAGTCAGTAGATACTCCTGTTTCTCTGGGTGGAATGGAACCTCCTCCTTATGGTGGACACTGTTCGGTACCATCTTTTCAGATTGGCCCATTGCAAGGAGACATGTCAGGATTGATCCCTTTACCAAATGGGAGCTTAGGAAGACAAGGGGGGGCCTTCCCGAAGAACCTACATGCTGAAGACTCTTCCCGCCTCGTCCATACATTTTCTCCTGAAGAAAAGTGGCCAGAGGAAATGGAGTCCACCAATGTAGACTTGAGAGTTCCTCAGTTATACTACAGCCATTCCTACAGGGGTGGAGGAAGGCGTGGCCAAGAGGACAGAGGAGGATATCGAGGGCGGAGCCAACGTGGACGGAAGGATTATATAGGCCGAGGCAGACAAGACGACCAGTCCTACAGACATTACGGGAGACGAGGTGCAGGGCCACAGTTGCCATATCAGTGACGCTGAATGTTGTTTTGGTTTACAATCATATCAGATACATGAAATCTGTTGTTTTGAGTTTTGCTGGGTGTCTTTTGGGATGTGTTATTGATTAGTTGTTTTATCTAATCATTTTTAACCGTTTTGTCTTTATCCTCACATTCTTGCTAATCGAAGCAACATGGCTTCGCCTGTTCTGATGTCACACAACCCCTGTGAAAATGTAAACTGCATAGGTAATAAAGTCTAATAAAACATTTTGTTTTAATGAGCACAAACTGAATTTCCCGCATGAGTGCACTTAAAAGCAAAAATGAATAAAGATCATTCCTTTATTTTGGTTTGAGTCCTAAAGTTTTCAGATCTATGCAAAATTGATTTACGTTTAATTTGTATTAAATTTAGATTGTGCTACAAGGTGTTTTAATATGGAATTTGTCCACACTGGTTCTCAGAGAACTTAATTTAACTGAAAAACACTCCACTCGATCTGCATGGTGAGTATATTGGTGATGGCATCTCACCTTAAAAAAGGAAAGTGCCTTTAGTGTAGTGTAGAGTTTTGTCAATGCATTTTTTGGGACTTCTTGTTTGGTTTTCTTCATGTCTGACCATGCGTTTTCATGCACTATAATCCCCAAGCAGTGGGTTCTGTGGATGAATGTTTGATGCCAAATGCCTGTAATAACATATTTGATCCAAATATGTGGTTTGAAACCAAAAACAACCGTTGTATTATCTATTGTTCCCCATTTTGACAAATAAAACAGAAAGCCTAAGAAGACTTAGTTGCATTTTTTAAAATACATTAAAGGGGAAGAGGTTCATTTTAGCTAAACAGTTTGACCTTTTTTGTTTGCCATTTTGCCAATCTCTGTGTTTGGTGGGTGCTCTTTAATACGTTTAGCTTAAGGTTGCATAAAGTCTCAAACTCAATTCCTAGAGGGCTGCAAATCTGCATATTTGCTCCAAACCTAATCAAACACAGCTAATCCAACTAATCAAAGTGATACCTATTCGTCTTAAACCTCTTGATTATTTGGATCATTTGTGTTTGATTAGGGTTCAAGCAAAACTGCAGATCTGCTGCCCTCCAGGAATCTAGTTTGGGAGTCTAAAACTGCGGTCACACTGGACTTTTCTCCCCGTAGACTTCCATTCATACGCAAGTTTGTGCGTCAAGTTTCGCAGTTCACTACGTTGCAAAGTTCAAGCTTGCTGAACTCTGACCTGCGAAATCGCATGACTTGACTGCATGAGACTGATCGAGGATCAAAACATGACCTCTCTGGGCAGAAATTGGACCAATCGCTTGCTTTTATAAATGTCTAATCATCTTGTTTAATCCCACCCCTTTTCCCAACACCGTGCTACAGCAATTCAAATTCTCAAACTCTAGTACAGGGGTCCTCAATCTCGTTCCTGGAGGGTCTGTGCCGTGCAGGGTTTAGCTCCAGTTTGCCTCAACACACCTGCCTGGGTGTTTCAAGTGTACCTAGTAAGACCTTGATCAGCTTGTTCAGGTGTGTTTGATTAGGGCTGGAGCTAAAATCTGCAGGACCCCTGCTCTAGTGTGACCGCAGCTTTATCCATAGCTCTCTAACTCGGTTCCTGGAGGGTCGCAGCGCTACACAGTTTAGTGCCAACCCTAGTTAAACACACTTGATCAAACTAATTAAAGCTGTGGTCACACTAGAGCAGGGGTGGCCAACCCTGTTCCTGGAGAGCCAGCTTCCTGCAGATTTCAGTTGCTACCCATATCAAACACACCTGCCTGTAATTATCACGAGGTATTCAGGTTCTAATTAATTGGTTCTGTTGTGTTTGATATGGGTAGCAACTGAAATCTGCAGGAAGCTGGCTCTCCAGGAACAGGGTTGGCCACCGCTGCACTAGTTTGTGTGTACGAAATTCTGTCGTACGGCACTGCGAAAAGGGGCGGGATTAACAAGATTATTAAATATTAAAAAAAGCGAGCGATTGCTCCATGTTTTAAATTTCTGTCCACAGATATGATGTTTTGATCCTCGATTGGGCACATGCAGTCAAGTGATGCAATTTCGCAGGTCAGAATTCACCAAGTTTGACCTTTGCACCGCAGCAATTGCAAAACTTAATGCATGACAGTGCGTTTCCGGTCTGACGCATTCGCTTGCGTATGAATGGAAGTCTATGGGAGGAAAAGCCCAGTGTGACCGCAGCTTAAGTCCTTCAGGCATTGAAACCTGCAGGTAATGCCATGGTCACACTAGAGCTTGCGAAATTCTGTAGTATGGCGCTGCGAAAAGACAGGATTAAAGAAGATATTTACATTAGATATTTAAAAAAAGCGAGCGATTGGTCCATATTTTAAATTTCTGCACATAGAGGTCATGTTGTGATCTTTGATTGATCTCGTGCAATCACGTGATGTGATTTGGCAGGTCAGAATTCACCAAGCTTGAACTTTCCAACCCAGGGAACTGCGAAACATGTCGCACAAGCTTGTGTTTTTAGTTTGCTGCATTCTAGTGCGAATGAATGAGTCTGTGGGGCAAAAAGTGAAGTGTGACCTGGCTTAAGTGTGTTGGAGGCGGAGCAGGTTTGGATCTGGAACCCCTGGATAAGACCATTAACATCTCACTCAAAAATGACATTTTTAATGTTCCTATTTAAAGATTGACTTCTGTAGCAATAAAACCACCAAAAAACAGATGTTTCTTTATTTTCAGCCGGATGTAGATACTATGCTCTCATTCTGGTGTGAGAATCCAGGACCTTTGCTGGCGTACTACATGGTAAAATATGTATTTTACTGTTGCTAACAGAACAAGGCCATTTTTTTGTAGTGTCTCCTATTATATTTTTTCTTCTGGAGGAAGTATTTTTGTCTTTTTAGTTGGACTGGAATAAAAAAAAATATTGTATATAATAACGGTCAATATCATTTAGACCACTGCAGTCCAATCACTTTCCTGATTAACCTAGTTGTCTTAAAATTGCACTAAGCTGAATATTAATATCTTGCAAAGTCAAAAGAGTAAATAAATTGGTTACATGAAATTAGTGGCTAAAACTAGCTTAAAAATACGTTGAGAAAAAAAAAATCATTGAACACAACTTGGCAAATAGTTGAGGACTAATAATAATGTCTTCAACTGTATCGATGGTAAACCCTACACAAACACAGCTTCCCTTTCATGTACAATATTTTCACTCCAAATAGGTTGGATGGCTCAGTGGTTAGCAACATCGCCTCAGAGCATTTGTGTGTGGAGTTTGCATGTTCTCCCTGTGTTGGAGTGGGTTTCCTCCACAGTGCCAACACATGCAATAGGTGAATTGATGAACTAAATTGGCTGTAGTGTGTGTATCCCAGTACTGGGTTGCAGCTGGAAGGGCATCTGCTGTGTAAAACACATGCTGTAATAGTTGGCAGTTAATTCCGCTGTGGTGACTAGTGGTGGGCAAAGCGAGGCTTCATGAAACACTGAAACAATCAAAGCTTCGAAACGTTTCAAAACCTGCCTCTACAGTGACACCCAGTGGTCATTTTTCATGTATAGCACTGGAACAGCTTCAGCAGAGAAACAGGCAGATTGAGGTATTAAACCCCACGTTGTTGAGCTGAAGCTTCAAGTGATTTAGTCACAGCAATCACAACCATCAAAGTACTGTAAAAAAATTAATTATTGTTTTACAGTCACAAAAATGACGCTATATTGATGGCATATCAGCAGCTGTATCCTATATGCATTATTAAAATACATAAAGTTCGTACAAGTCGAGATTTGAACCCAAAAAAAACATTTGCAGCACAATAGCGAGCACACATGCGGTCCACTAGGCTATATGGGAGTTTTTTTCTGAGCCTGTCAGTCAAATGCAGATTCGAAGGTTCTCGAAACACTTCTGAACCTCGCTTTAGTCACGTGACCAGGTGTATTGAAACACTTTAGTCACATGACCAGGTATTTCGAAACACTTTAGTCATGTGACCAGATGTTTTGATACACTTTACTCACAGGACCTGGGTTTCAAAACACTTTAGTCACATGACCAGGTGTTTCGAAAAACTTGTCACATGACCAGGTGTTTCGAAAAACTTGTCACATGACCAGGTGTTTCGAAAAAATAGTCACATGTCCAGGTGTTTCGAAACACTAGTCACGTGACCTGGGTGTTTCGAAACAGCACTTTAGTCACGTGAACAGGTGTTTCGAAACACTTTAGTTACATGACCTGGGTGTTTCGAAACACTTGTGTTTCTTTCATCTCGACACAGTCGAAACGTCTGTTTCACGTCAGTCATCCTTATTGGTGAGTCGTGATAAATAAGAGAATAAACCGAAGGAGACACCAAACATTACCCAAAAAATGCATTTATACTCGCAGTCTTTCTATTTGAAATCAGTTTTTGGCTGAAACCCCGTTCATGGGAGGGAATTACACACTGAATATGTATTTAAGCATAAACACAAGCCTTTCTCAGTTGTGGTCTTTCCATTTAAAGTCAGTTTATTCCAAAACAATCCCACTGCACAGACGCGTCACCCAATATCATGACACAACAGATTATTTTGGGTGTGTGTGTGTGTAGATGGTCGTGTGTTTTAATCTGCATCTTCACAAGGCGGCAGAACGCCAGATCTTGAGAAACGGGGTTATTTAATATGATGTAACGCATCATGTAACGTGATTAAAATATTTTATTTCAAAATATACAGTAGCATGTTTGGCGTGTGTGAATTCATTCACAGCACTCGTGTGAGCGGAAGGAACTTCAGTACTGTTAATGATAATTCACCCAGAAACACATTTATTTGTAATAAACATCTCTCCTCTTTTGGCATGATGACACAAGCTTGGCGTATTTGAGGATGAGGGCTGTGTTTCTGAAGTGAACCCGCTGGACAGAGTGATGATGATGAAGATGATGATGGTTATTCAGTCAAACATGTAAGTCCGCTGTTCCAGCATTTTCTGGTTTGATGTCGTATCAAGCGGCTGAATTTCTGGAGTTTTCTGAATTGGCGTTCAGTCATCCAGGAAGAAGTAGTTTCCACTCTTCTTTTGTTCCACATCCTGAAAGAGAAAAGCAGAGAGCGATCAACTTCTAATTAAAATCAGAGTGAGCTGAATTCACCAAGTGTCCACAAACATGCAAGCAATTGGTGGTTTACAGAAGCTCAGTGTACATAAAGTTCAAGGCGAAAATGGAGCAAAATACTTTACGGTATTTGCAATAATATTTGGTTCTGACCTTTCTATCAATATGATTTGATTATAATTGCAGATCAATGACAGAAATAGCAGACGTTACAGTAGGCTGTTTCGCATGCGCATCATTGATCTGCAGTTATAATCAAATCATGTTGACAGAAAGGTCAGTATTGAACATTTATGCACAAGTATTTATGTGTATAAAGCATCTGTTTTTTGAGAAGTGTTCCTCATATGGCATGCGAGCGACCCGTACAGCTTTACTGTGACATTTCCTTGTGTGAAAATGATTCTGAGAGACTTTCTTTCGTACAACATGCCCACCAAAATGGTACACTTTTGCTGAACTTACGCTCTAGGGTTGAGGGCTAAAGTGAAAGGCCGGGGGGGATGGGGGGAGCTGTCGGGGACGCCGCCTTCTCTATTCTGCCGCCCTAGATGCGGATATAACTGAGGGCGTGGGTGGTGATGGTAGTGTCGCAGACGCCGCCCTCTCTAGTTTGCCTCCCTAGACGCGGATATAACTGAGGGCCTGGGTGGTGAGGGTAGCGTCGCAGACAGCACGCTAGACGCCGATATAACTGAGGGCGCGGGTGGTGAGGGTAGTGTCGAGGACGCCACCCTAGACGCGGATATAACTGAGGGCGCGGGTGGTGAGGGTAGTGTCGAGGACGCCGCTCTCTCTATTCTGTCACCCCAGATGGCGATATAACTGAGGGCGCGGGTGGTGAGGGTAGTTTTGGGGATGGTGCTCCGCTCTCTCTATTCTGTCACCCCAGATGGCGATATAACTGAGGGCGTGGTTGGTGAGGGTAGTTTCGGGGACCCCCGCTCACTCTATTCTGCCGCCCTAGATGCGGATATAACTTAGAGCGCGGGTGGTGATGGTAGTGTCGCGGATGCCGCCCTCTCTATTTAACGGAGGGCACGGGTGGTGAGGGTAGCGTCGCGGATGCCGCCCTCTCTATTCTGCCGCCTTAGACGCGGATTTAACGGAGGGCGTGGGTGGTGAGGGTAGTGTCGGGGACGCCGCTCCGCTCTCTCTATTCTGTTATCCTAGACGCGGATATAACTGAGTGGATGGTGGTGAGGGAAGTGTCGCGGATGCCGCCCTCTCTATTCTACCGCCTTAGACGCGGATGTAACGGAGGGCGCTGGTGGTGAGGGTAGTGTCGCGGATGCCGCCTTAGATGCGGTGGTGAGGGTAGTGTCGCGGATGCCGCCCTCTCTATTCTGCCGCCTTAGACGCGGATATAACGGAGGGCGCGGGTGGTGAGGGTAGTGTCGCGGATGTCGCCTTAGACGTGGATATAACTGAGGGCGCAAGTGGTGAGGGTAATGTCGAGGATGCCGCCCTCTCTATTCTGCCGCCCTAGATGTGGACATAACCAAGGGCGCAGGTGGTGAGGTTAGTGTCGCGGACGCCGCTCTCTCTATTCTGCCGCCTTAGATGTGGATATAACTGAGGGTGCGGGTGGTGAGGGTAGTGTCACAGATGCCGCCCTCTCTATTCTGCTGCCTTAGACGCGGATATAACGGAGGGTGTGGGTGGTGAGGGTAGTGTTGCGGACGCCGCCCTCTCTATTCTGCTGTCCTAGGCGGCCGCCTCTATGGACGCGCCGACCCTGACTTTTGACCGTGGAAACGCAAGCCTGATAAAGGTGACCCATACCATAACGTACTGTACCTCTCAGTGGAAACGGGCCATTTTAGGTGCCTTTTGACAGTGGAAACAGCCATAAAAGCATAAAACCATACCACTCAGTGAAAACAGGCCATAAGAAACTTGTTTAGAAAGTTTTTTTGCTAAGGGGAAAAGGCCCAGTGCAGGACCTACGAACTGCCAAGGAATGGATTCCCAACCCATTTATCAACAAATGACAGCAGGCTGATCGCATATTGCTTTTCTAGAGATTGTGCAAATGAGTTATTTCCAATGGAGGTACGCGGCTTGCACACTTCAAGCGGTGTGACGACTCGCATCTTCCAGATGCACGCAGTTGAAAAGAATGCTGCGAGTGCGCTGTGAGTGCCAAGTAGAGGTGTGAATCTATACTGGTCTCACGGTTCGGTTACGATTATCATGCCTTCGATTCGGTTAAATTCGATATCTCGGTGCATTGACGATGCTTTCCATATACAGTGTTATATTTTAGAGGAGAGGCTAAAAAGCTGTCTGTATAAACACACAGAGACACAGCACCACACTGTCTCTCATTCAAACACAAACATAGACAGCACCAAAGAAACAAACATACGCACACGCACACACACTTAAGCCCTCGCAACAGGGAGAGCTCGTGGAGAGCGGAGCAGAAAAACGAAAAAAAAAAAAAAAAAAAAAAAAAAAAAAAAAAAAAAGCATTTTTCCGACGGTCCCTTGCTGAGAGCTCCTTTCAGCGCGAGCTATCCCGGCTAAACACATATTGCGAGGGCTTAAACGGAGCAGTGCTCGTAGTGTGGAGCGAAAAAAAAAAGAAAGACAGCTGTGAAACATAACCAGCTTTGTCTTTTTGTAGGAAACACACTTAAGATCTTTTTAGGGTAAGAGGTTTTTGAGTTATTGCCGTCTATAACTGAATGTGTGTCAGGAATATCGAAAACAATACCAACTGAACCGCGCTCCTTTCTGGCGCCCTCCTGGATATACAGCGCCCGTAGCATTTGCCCATGGTGCCTATGCCACGGGCCGGCTCTGAGTTGGCTGAGTATTGTAAATACTCGCGCTCACCTCCCTTGCGACAGACAGCATAGGAGATAAATGACGTCACTACATAATAACCGGTTATGATAATTACTGAACCGATACCGAATTGTCTGCGTCTGCATCGCGGTGCACCAAAGAAACAATTAATTTTGACACCCCTAGTGCCAAGCGAGTCATGTGATAAGAACTGACCAATAATCTTCAAATAAACATTTCGGTAGACTAATTACAGAAAATCTGTTCACACAACTAAATTTTAATAGATGAAATAATCCATCCATTTAATACCATATAAAGATCTGAATCTAAAGGAATATTTACCTTAATGGAATTGAGTTTGTTAATTCTTGGTCTGAAGTTGTTTGGGTCTCTCCTGAAGGTGATCTCCAGCTGCGCTAAAAACTTATTCATGCCAGCCAACAGCGTCTGCGGACTGATGAAACAAAAGCAAACCTCAATGATAATATGACAGATGCATTACTTAAACCAGCGAATGTGAAAAGGCTCCATTGTGCAACTCTAATGTAAAGTATTCAGTCAGTGCGAATGAAGTACGTACGCATTGGCGTTAGTGGTCCTGGATGGAATTCCGTCAAATACGATGACTCTGTCCGCCAGATACGTGGCCATGATGAAATCGTGCTCCACCACAAATGCAGTCTTCTTCGCATGAAGGATGAATCTGAATGACAATGTAAGTAAATGAGCATCTAGCATATATAAAGCACATCAAAAGCAAAGAAAGTGTTGATGTTTTACCGTTTGATGACCCTGGCAGCCATGAGACGCTGCTCAGAGTCCAGATAAGCGGATGGCTCGTCGATCAGATACACATCCGCTGGTTTGCCTAAACACAAAGCCAGAGCCACGCGCTGCAGCTCACCACCAGACAGATTCTGGACCTGCAGACAACACACAAACACAGTGTCTTAACCCGTGTGTGCTTTTGCGGGTGTTTTCATCCACCCTGGGCTGATTTTGAGTCTTAATTTGGCCATCATTTTCTGAGCAAATAGAAATAATTTCTGGTGACAAATCTTAATTTAAAAATGCTTTGAACAATTCACTTTGGGCAAATTCACTACCCTTTTAGTGAATCGATTGTAGTGAGAAAGCAAAACCACCCAAAAACCAGCCTTTCCCACAGTGTAATGGTTATGTAATGGCTCGTTTCCACTGACTGGTACAGCACGGTATGGGTCACCTTTATCAGGCTTGCGCTTCCACCACAAAGGGTACCCTTTTGTTGGGTGTGGTGTATGACAAAGTTTAAGTCGACGTCATGCTCGCTCTAATAAATGTGTACAGTAAAGCTGTACGGGTCATTTACATATCATAATGAGCAGCACTTCACACAAAACAGACGCTTTATACACATAAATACTTGTTTATAAATGTTTATTACTGACCTTTCTATGAACATGATTTGATTATAACTGCAGATCAATGACAGTGCGAGAGAGGCTACTGTAACGTCTGTAATTATATAAAGTAAATACATAAATGCAACATATATGAACACATACAGCCCCTTACAGTCTCCGATATATTATATTATTACCAAAAAAGGTTTTTACAAAGATTTGTGGAAAAATTAGGTTTTTAGCAAGGCAATCTGATCTTTTGGATGTTCATTCTTTACAATTGTTGGCAGGAGCTTTGATTCAACCCCATTTTGATTATGCTACGTCATTTTGGTACAGTAGCTGCTCACAAAATTGAGAAATTGCAAAAGGCACAAAATAAATTAGTACGAATAATTTCAAAAATGCATCCTAGAGCACATTTGCACAAAGAGTCTTTTAATAAATTAGGTATGTTAACTGTTAGTAATAGAGTGTGTTTTTTAAAATTGGGACGTAAAATGTTTAATAATGTGGTTCCTAGCTATTTGATTAATTATTTTCAAATGGTGAGGCAACAGCATTCATACAGTACTAGGAGTTGGGATTTTAATATTTGTTTATTTAAATTTAGAGGTTTAGTAGGGAAAAATATGTTTTTATATACAAGTGCAATCATGTGAAACAAACTACCAAAATCAATTAAGGAAATAAAAGATTTAAGGTTGTTCAAAAAAGCTATCAAAAGATGGTTGTTTGATGAGGATAATTAGTTTGCATGATGGACGAGGATCTTTTAAATTATATCTTACTTGAGTGTGAATAGGTTTGTGTCTGGAAGGCCATTGGCTGTGTGGAACATGTGCTGGATATGTTGACTGTTCATACCGCTGTGGCGACTGTTTGTTTTATTTCTTCATTAGTATTTTGAAGCCATACATTGTTTTTATTTAACAGAGGACCACAATGGAAATAAGCCCAGGGCTTTATTGTGTTTTTATCCTCGACAGTTTTTTTTAACAAAGTGTATGGAATACTTTTTGTACAGTTTGTCTAAAATCTGTCAAATAAAATTCAATTCAATTAATTACAGAAAAACTACACACAGCATGCATTTAGTCCTTATTTGAGTTCACAAACACACGCAATATAGCCCACAGTCAGCGCAAACCTCTCATCTGTGTCTGTAATCTTCACCAGCACATGCAAACTCTGTTAGAGAGTCATTTTGTTATTCCCAGCTCATAATAATCCAAAATGCAAATATAATCATGGCAGTTTGTTCATGAATCAGGTTGCTAAAACACTTTTGCTCCTGTGTTTTGCCGGGTTTCTCCTTTTTTCCCCACGCTTGTCCTTTTCTTTCTGAATGGATCAGATGACGGAGACACTTCAACAATCACGTAACCTTACACATTATTATCATCAGCTCAAGAAGTTTGTTATATCAAAAATAGACGCGATCGCGCGCTCCCGGAAGAAAGCGAATACCGCTCGCACTTTTTAGACGGGCTCGTAAAGCAACAACAGGACACGGCAGATTTAGTTCTTCTTTGCATTGCGTCTGTTCATCAAGACGACGACACGGTTTGTTTGAGCCCGGGTCATCCACGGCTGGTTATTTTATGCATATAGTAACGATAAATCCATGTAATCTCTCGCCTGTGTATTAGAACATGGCGGATCCTTTGTTTACATTCTGTCTAGCTCCACAAGCTCGTGACGTATCCCTGAACCAATCAGCGTTCGGCTGTGTGTGTAGCTCCACCTTTTGGTACCCTTTCGAAAGGGTGCTGAAAAAGTGGTATGGTACGCTGACAGTGGAAACTGCCATAAAAGCGTACCAAACCTAACCACTCAGTGGAAACAGGCCATAATAGCTATATATACAGCTATATGAAGAGAAAATTATGAGTATTACACTTGTACAGTAGTGGTGTTATACTCACGTCCTGGTCGATGATGCTCTCGATCTGCATGGGCTTCATGACGTCAGTGACGAACTGAGGGTGTGTGTACGCGTCTCTGATCTTGTCATGCAGCAGAGCTCGAACACTGCCCTAAAACACACAGAGATGTTCAACTTCAGTTTGTGTGTGTTAAACACCATGCCAGCTTCATTTTCATCAAGAGAAAAAACATACAGATCATAACGTTTTACATTTTTGCAAAAAACTCCACAACAGATCTCTTCAAAAGAATGAACTGAATAAAATAAATGCATCACCATGGTATATGCAGGAAACAGAGAGTGAAATTCAATAGATTTAACACTCTTTCCATTCATTTTAAAACCACTTAAGCCACTTAATGTTTCTACCGGTAACATGTTAACTTATATTTACTTAATACTGACTATAAAAAAACCAAACCTGGAACATTATTCATTTTCCTAGTATTAAGAAGCGGCTGAAAGGGCATCCGCTTCAAACTCACTTTAAACTTAGGGCTGATCTTCTGTGGTTTGTAGCTCACGTTCAGGATAGGCACATCACCTGACAAACATAACACACACTCCTGTTAGCATTACAAATGGGCTTAATAATCTGTATTAATCAGCCAGTAGCTATTCTTGTGAGAAGAAAGTGCTTGTGTCTAGCAGTAGACTTTCATTCAACTCTCATAATTAATAGCGCTACATTAAAAAACACACTTCTAATAAAATGCATATGTTTTAATAAGCGAATGAGAAGGTTCACCCAAAAATTTAAATTACCTTATGATTTGTTCCCCATCATGTGGTTTTAAATCATTTGAGTTTCCTCTGTTAAACACAAAAGAAGATATTTTAAAGAAAGCTGGTTGATGGCACCCATTGACTTTCATAGTAGGAAATGGAGGTCTATGGATGCCAGCTACCAACATTCTTCAAAATATCTTCTTTTGTGTTCAACAGAAGAAACTCAAATAGGTTTAAGAGTAAATTTTCTTTTTTGGATGAACTTTCCCTTGAGGGCATGCAAAATACAATTTTTTTTTACTGCTATTAGTTTAAATATTTATATATATATATATATATGAGAGCAATTCCAGCGTTGTGGATGTGACATTTGCAGTAAAAACTCAAGACATAAATTGACAGAGAAAGTATATGTTAACATTATATTGAAAAATTTAATTATATTTTCTAGAGCAACTAGCCACAGAGTTATGGGAGCAGAAAAATATCAATCTGTAAACGTGTTTTGTACTTTAAATGAGAAAATATAAATGCATTATGAAGATAAAAAAAATTATTTTGAAAAGCATGTAATTTAGATCAGCTTGATAAAAGATAGAAACAGATCAATTTTAATGTATTAATAAATAAAAGGGAGGATAGAAAAATGTGATTATTAGATTACTTAAAAATATTTCTAATTAAAACAAATCAGCATTTCAGCAGAATATAGTTGTGGTGTGTGCTGGTTTTCACCTCCTCCGTCTGGTTTGAGGCCTCCGGCAAGCATCCTGATGAAGGTGGTTTTCCCCGTTCCTAAAAGAAGAAAACTGGTTTAGATGTAGGACTGCACAATATAGGCGTAAGTCAGAATTATTCGCCCTCCTGTGAATTTTTTTCTCTTTCAGATATTTCCCAAATGATGTTGAACAGATTCAGGAATTTTTCACAGTATTTCCTATAATATTTTTTCTTCTGGAGAAAGCTTATGTGTTTTATTTAAGCTAGAATAAAAGCAGTTTTTAATTGTTTTAAACCCATTTTAAGGTCAATATTATTAGCCCCCTTAAGCTACATTGGTTTTGGATCGTCTCCAGAACAAACCACTGTTTTACAATGACTTGCTTATTTATACTAACTTTACCCTAGTTACCCTAGTGAAGCCTTTAAATGTTACTTTAAGCTGAATACCAGAGATGGGGTACTCAAGTCACATGACTTGACTTGAGTCAGACTTAAGTCACAAAATTTAGGACTTGAGATGGGTTGCAGCTGGAAGGGCATCAGCTGTGTAAAAAATATGCTGGATAAATTGGCAGTTCATTTCGCTGTGGCGAACCCAGATTAATAAAGGGACTAAGCCGAAAATAAAATGAATGAATGAATGAAGAGGTAGACCATAATGGAGTGAAAGTTTATCATTTGCATGTGTGTTTTTTCATTAGGATTTAACTTGACCGTACATCGTAGTATATAATAGAAATTAAGAATAATTACTGTCAAAAGCCCCTTTCACAGTGATACCGGTAAAAATCTGGAAAATTACTGGAACGACTTTACCAGTAGATAAAAAAAGCGCTGTTTACACAGGCAGGAACGTTATGTAATTTTTCCCGGAAAAGAGCATTCACACATCTATTCCAAAATACAGCTACATTCTGAAATCACCAACCAGAAACGACCCATAAACAGCTGCGCTTGTACTTGTAAACACAGAAGGGGTCAAGCTTTTGTTGATGGTACATAATATGTGTGTGTGTGTGGCATAGACTGTAAAAGATATGTACGTAGTCCAGGGCTCGAAAATAACCTTTTTGCTTGGTAGCACCGGTGCTCTTAACTTTAAAAATGTAGGCGCATTAGCCAAAATTTAGTCGCACCCACTAATTACAAGCACCGTTGCTACAAGTTTTATTCAAACATATTTTATTGCATTTGAAATCAACACTAATCAAACTAACAAGCTAATATATATATATATATATATATATATATATATATATATATATATATATATATATATATATATATATAAAGTTACACATGCATTAACAACTCATCTCTTCTCAGATCGGTCCGAAAGAATCAGTTGAATTTGCTGGACTGGATCATTCGGTTCATTAAAAAGAACCACTTTAAATGATTCATTAGATTGATATAAACGATTCATTTGAACGATTTATTTGCTATTCGGCTATCAGATAATGCGGTTATGAAAAAGGGAAGGCGCTCCACCAAAGATTTATTTTATATATATATATATATAATTAGATTGACTTGAAAGTGACTCGACGTGACTTGAAATAAGCAGTGACTTGACTCCGACAAAAAAATGACTTGACTTGCTTGAGACTTGAAGGTTATGACTTGAGACTTGCTTGTGACTTGCACATGTGTGACCTCTGCTGAATACTAGTTTTTTGAAGAATATCTAGTCTAATATTATGTGCTGTCATCATAGCAATGAGAAAAGAAATCAATTTGAAATGAGTTATTAAAACTATTATGATTAGAAATGTTGAAAATAATCTTTTCATTTAACAAAAAATTGGGAAGAAAAATATACAGGACGGTTTATAATTCTGACTTTAACTGTATATTGTACAGCCCTATTTATGAAAATAAAGAAAACGTTAATAATCAGCAGAGATGAAGAGTGGAGTCTGATCTCACCGTTCTCTCCGAGCATGACCATGATCTCAGAGTCGGTGAACTCTCCTTCGGTGATGGTGAGTGTGAACTCGCCCATACTCTTCTTCATGTTGGGATACTGATAACGGCACAGTTTCTTCACCTCCTCTTCAGCTGCCGTCTCTGCCACTTTAAACACAAGAGACGTCTCTCTGAATCGCAGGTTCTCCGTCGGCACGTAGCCGTCCAGGAAAATGTTGATTCCTGATTATAAAAAAGAAATACATTTTTAGTTGCAACTTATAATTTATTCTTATCAAATGTGCATTTTAAAAACATAAATATATTTTTAAATATTATTTAGATCTTTAAACATTAATGCAAAATAATAATAATAAAAAATAAACTAGAAAAGAATAACAGAATTGACAATGTGCAGATATTCAGAGTCAAAATACCAAGCAAGTTTATTCAAAGTATTTGTTGTAGAGTTTATTCAAGCTCTTTAAGTCACACACAAATACTGTTAAAGTTTCCAGTACACACATTTAACTTAGCATTGTTATTGCATGTCTAACTGAGGCAAATATGACAGGATACAAGTAACTAACCGGCCAATTTATTAGGTACACCCAACTGCTCATTAATGCAAACTTCTAATCAGCCTATCAAATAAGGCAGCAACTCAACGCATTTAGGCATGAAGACATGGTCAAGATGATCTGCTGCAGTTCAAAGCGAGCATCAGAATGGGGAAGAAAGGGGATTTAAGTGACTTTGAACGTGGCATGGTTGTTGGTGACAGATGGGCTGCTCTGAGTATTTCAGAAACGGCAGATTAACTAGGATTTTCATGCACAACCATCTCTAGGGTTTACAGAGAATGCTCCAAAAACAGAGAATATCCAGTGAGCGGCAGTTCTGTGAGCGCAAATGCCTTGTTTATACCAGAGGTCAGAAGAGAATGGCCAGACTGGTTCCCGCTGATAGAAAGGCAATAGTAACTATTTTGCTATATGCATACCTTCTCTGACGCTGAAGGGCATGGTCACCACCCCATAAGCACTGGGAACTCCATACAGACAGCAGATGAAGTCTGACAGGTAATCCAGCACACTCAAGTCGTGCTCCACCACAATGATGTACCTGTAGACACGAGCAGAGTCGTGTTATTCTGAGATACAGAGAGACTAGCCAAGGCTAATTAGCAGTGGTTTCAGAGAACGGTACCTGTCTGGAGAGATGAGGGAGCGGATGGTGATGGCGGCTCTCAGCCTCTGCTTCACATCAAGATAACTGGACGGCTCGTCGAACATGAATCTAAACATGAATTATACAAATTATCAGTCAAGGTCACTCCTTACTTTCTTCATCTTATTGTCCTTTTTAATTATTATTTATTTTTTTAAATTCTTATAATTTTTTCTTTCCTCTTTTATATGGCCTAAGGATGTTTAGTTGTTGTCTAGATGCATTTACAACCATTAAAGTAGGTAGGAATTGATAGCAAACATATACACTGCATTGTTCTTTATGCAATGTCGTATTCTTTAATAAAATACATTTAAAACAAAATAATACAAATTATTAATATTATTGTTATTATTATTAACTAAAACAATTGAAAAATGTTGCACTTATTGAAAAGGACACAAGTAACTAAATAATGGAACTAAAACAAAATGTAGAATTTGGTCATAATTAAATGTATAAATGTCACAGAATTTGGCAAATAAAGATAATGTAAAAATTGGCAACAATTTTAGGACGTCAATTGTTAAAATCACATACCTTTATTAAATATTACAATGAACTCATTAATAATTATTACCAATAATAATAGTAACACTTCCCATAAAACATACGCTGGATAAGTTGGCAGTTCATTCCACTGTGGCGACCCCTGATGAATAAAGGGACTAAGCCAAAGAAAAAAATTAATGAATGAATAAATAATAGTTCATTCATTCACTCACTCATTCATTTGCTTTTCGGCTTAAACTGCCGACTTATCCAGCATATGTGATATGCAGCGGATGCCCTTTCAGCTGCAACCCATCACTGGGAAACATTATCAGAACTTCAAGAATCAAAGACACAGAGGCAAAACTAAATTAATTAATTGAGGCTTTATGTAGCAATAACTATTATAATTAAATGATAAATAAAATATTAAATGATATAATATTAAATGATATAATATTATAATGAAATAAGTGTCTTAGTTTTTCCCCCCATCTTATATAATTAAATTTTTATTATACATTTTACATGTTTGGTTTTTCATTTAATTATCATTTTTTTTCTTGTTATAAATATGTATTAAACCATGAAATCTTTGTTTAAAACACAATTTGTTTAAAAAAAAAAAAGTTTCAAATTTATTGAAAAAAAAAAAGTTTAACTCAAAAAAAATTTAACAGTTAAAATGTAACAATTCTATTGACTAAATATGTTTTTTTTTAAATAAAACACAATTAATCTGATTTATTAATTCTGAAATATTAAAATGGTATTCAGAATTAAACAATAACATTTAACAATATTAAAATAACTAAAAAATAAACTATTTGAAATATAGTACTATCGAATTACCAATCCAGCGACCTTCTTGCTGTGAGACTACAGTGCTAACCACTAAGCCACAGGGCCACCTTTTTCTCTCTTCATATGTCAAATAAAAAAAAACTCACATATCAGCTCTCTGAATGCAGACGACGGCGCAGGCAAATCTCTGCAGCTCTCCTCCTGATAGGTCCTCAACATTACGGTCACGCAAGTGCAACAGATCTGACCAATCAGAGCACGGGACCACCATCAACATCATGCACATAACAAAACTTTAGTAAATCTCACGCATCAGAAATGCATAAGCACATACCCAGCTGTTCACACACCAGCTCTTCTGTCTTGGTGTCATCCTTTCGGCTTAGGATGGCACCTACTGACCCCTGCAGGACAAACAGAATTACAACACAACCAAACAACATAAAATGACTTAAAGAGGACCTATTTTGTCCTTTACAAGATGTAAAGTCAGTCTCTGATGTCCCTAGAGTATGTGTATGTGTGAAATTTCAGCTCAAAATAGCACACAAATAATGTTTTATAACTTTCTGAAACTGACCCTTTTAGGCTTTGATCTTATTGTGGCATTTGGTGACTGTCGCTTTAAATTCAAATGAGATTGTGTGGTTTCCAAAAGAGGGCGGAGCTACAAATGCCTGTGTGTCAGCATAGTGGCAGATTCAAAAACAAGACTAACATTATTGGTGTGAAAATTATCTTCAGCAGCTCAAACACTCTAATGGCTAATGGACGGCTGCTTCTCACTTAGGGCTGTTTATGCTAATGAGGGGGATATGATCTCTAATGGGGGGGTTCCCCTCTCATGACACTTACAGGAAGAATGTCAAAGTGTTTCTGGAGACTGTCGGATTATAAACAACAGAATGAATCAAGGTTTACCATTAGAGGCTGGTTATATTCACACTGTAGCCACACAACTACAGTGTTTAAACCCTTTATAAAGGTGTTTTTTGCATAATAGCCCCCCTTTAAATTCAAGTCAGCTTGCTTTCCTTCTGACCTTAACGGTTTTGGGGATTTGATCAACATATTGAGGCTTTACGATGGCCTTCAGGTCGTCCTCCAGGATCTTAGTGAAGTAATTCTGCAGCTCAGAGCCGCGGAAATACGCCAGAATCTCCTGCCAGTCAGGGGGAGCCTGGAAACACATAATATAAGTTAAAAACCAGTGCATCTCTCCATGATAAGCCTTACCATGGTATTAAATTTGGAAATTTATTTATGTTTCAATGCCATATGAGCATCATAGGCTATAGGGTATATGCCGAGCTAGTGCTGTTTCCATGCTGATACACTTTCGGTGAGCTGTTATTGTGAACTTTCTCATATCATACGGTTTCTTATACAGCATCGATGTTGTAATGTCATTAAAATACATTCAGTTAAATTAACTTTAGCATTCCTTTGGTTGCTCAAGCGTAAAACAAGACAAAAAGCTGTATACTCGCATGCGCCCGTCAGAATCGGCAGGCTAACGCAGAAGCTTCATTAAATATACTGGGCTAAAATAAATGCTCATATTATAAAGACATGGCGGGGGAAATGTAATGTAATGCAGTGCTTCTTGTACAATTTGAGACCCACTTTAAGACCGGATATCACTCAGCCCGTGGAGATCGCTGATTTTTAAAGAAAACAGACCTTAAACGCACCGGATTTCGCATTGGCATGCCATTCGCCGGAAGCGCTTAACCCAGGTTACTGGCAAATTAAAAGTCTTATTAGCATGCTTCGGCATATACCCCATATACATGAAGACACTTGTATTAAATATTCAATATATAATTTAAAATGAATAAATATTAATAAACTCGTAATAATTATTTATTGCAAAAAATACAAAATTAATAAAATATATGTATCAATATACACAAATAACACAGACGAAAAAAAGTTATTTCAGTTTGATCAATGATAAATGTAGTAAAATTCCTCTAAAAGACACCTTTTGACTTAAAATATCACATGAATAAAAGCGTTCTCTAATATAATTAACAAATATACATTCTATTAAAACGAGTTTTTCTTGCATTTGAAAATAGAAAAGCAAACACAATAATGGGATTACTAAACATTAAAATCAAAAGATTTTATTAAATCTGAGTGATCCATATTTAGTCTCACAAATTTGACTGCTTATGATCTACAGTTATGAATTATGATAATAATATGCTTATTATCTACAGTATGAATTATGATAATATTTGTATGGGGTTTTTACTCTGTGGTTATATTGAATGCTGTAGACGGTTGTAAGAGTTAATGGAAGTAGTGACAGAATTTCAAAATAAGAGTCCTAATGCATTTCTAACCTTCTGTACATTTTATATTCAAACAAATAAATCCTTTTGCATGTCTCCTTGTTTTGCTTTAATATAAACAATTTTTCAGTTTCATGGCTCAAATTAAGGGAATGTGCATTTTGGGTAAACACTTGTGAATTGAGGGGGCAATACATAGGTTTCCATTGCTTTTATACTGTACAAACTGTATTTTCTATTTTTCTAACCCCACCCAACCCCTAAACCCAACCCTCACAGTGCAGTTTTACTTACAGAAAAAAACCCTATGTGCAGCGTGTGTGTGTGTGTCTCAGACTCACATCAAATCTCCCCAGGTTTGGTTTCTGTTTTCCTGCCAGGATTTTGAGAGCAGTGGATTTCCCAATACCGTTAGTACCCACAAGCCCCAGCACTTCACCCGGACGAGGGATGGGCAACCTGACAAACACAAACACTCCGATTAAACAACAATTACAGAAACAAAATTCAGGTGTGACTCAGATGTAATGTATGCTCGTACCTGTGCAGCTTGAAGGAATTGGCACAGTATCTGTGTGTGGTTTCCTTCTCCAGGTTGCTTGGCAGGTTCACGATTGAAAGAGCACCAAATGGACATTTCTACATTAAAATAAGCAGATATGACTTTTAGGGCAACAGTAATAATTTAGGGTAAGATCTAGGGCTGCACAATATATGGTTTCAGCATCGATAATGCAATGTTCATTAGTCACATCACAGGATATGCAATGTTGAGTTGGGATTATAGTTGATCATAATTAATTCAGCGTTTAACAATAATGGAGTAAAAGTTTATCGTTGGCGTGTGTTTTTAAAGATATAGTTTACCCAAAAATTACACTATACTTTTTTTAATACATACTTTTTTTAAAAAAAATTTATGGGTTTCTTTTATTTATGTTGAACACAAAAAAAGACATTTTAATAACTCGTAAACGTTCGAAACAACTGAAGTGTGAGTAAATAGTGAGTACATTTTGGGTGAACTACCCCTTTAAGGCCTGTGACTATGTGAACATTTTCAATATTTCAGAGTTTAAAACATCCTGTCATAAAAAAAAATTATTATGTTTGTAACTTTAATAAAGATTACATAATATACAATGCAGGGCGACGCAATGGCGCAGTAGGTAGTGCTGTCGCCTCACAGCAAGAAGGTCGCTGGTTCGAACCTCGGCTCAGTTGGTGTTTCTGTGTGGAGTTTGCATGTTCTCCCTGCCTTCGCGTGGGTTTTTTCCGGGTGCTCCGGTTTCCCCCACAGTCCAAATACATGCGGTACAGGTGATTTGGGTAGGCTAAATTGTCCGTAGTGTATGAGTGTGTGTGTGTGGATGTTTCCCAGAGATGGGTTGCGGATAGAAGGGCATCCGCTGCATAAAAACTTGCTGGATAAGTTGGCGGTTCATTCCGCTGTGGCGACCCCGGATTAATAAAGGAACTAAGCCGACAAGAAAATGAATGAATGAATAATATACAATGCAATTTATATTGCTATAATATATTTGATATATTATTCGAGTTTCACTCCCCTACAAAATTACCCTAATGAATCTAAAATGAAGAGTTCTTTTCCAAATAAAGCTCTTCAAGTCATCTGGTAAAATTGTATTCACATCAAAATATATAATCGCAGAAAAACAAAATATTTCAGAAGTCAATGTCAGATTTTTTTCAATATCTTGCAGCCTCAGTAAGACCATTAATGTTCAAAACAAACAAATTCCAATAGCTTACAATGTAAATCAATGAGATCTTCATAACAGCACAGCAGACTATTTGCATAAAATGCATATAAATTAGCTATCGCAAAATACAGTTGAAGTTAGAATTATTTGTTCTCGTGTTATACATTTGTTATACTAATCTAAATTGTAGTAGCTAATATCTTTTATCTTTGCCATGATGACTACATAAAATGTGACTAGATATTCATCAAGACACTAGTAATCAGCTTAAAGTGACATTAAAGGCTTAACTAGGTTAAAGTTAGAGTAATTAGGCAAGTCACTGAATAACAGTAGTTTGTTCTGTAGACAATCAACACAAATAAAGCTTAAATGGGCTAATAATATTGACCTTAGAACAATTTTTATATACATACATAATGTCTAAGTATAATATTTAAAATATTTAAAGTTTTTTGGATCAATTATTTGTAGTTTCAAAGCATATAATACTAAAATGACTGAGAGGTTAAAATGTTGATATTTAAATGTTTTAGAGCAGAGGTGCCCAAACTCAATCCTGGAGGGCCGGTGTCATGCAGATTTTAGCTCCAACTTGCCACAACACACCTGCACGGATGTTTCTAGAAAGCCTGGTAAGGGCTTGATTAGCTAGCCCAAGTGTGTGGGATTGAAGTTGGTACTAAATCTTGCAGGACCCTCAAGCACTGTGCACTCATGTTTAAGAGGCTTTGGATGATCAATCACGCTGAGGAACAGCAAAAGTAATGGTTCTGGAAATGAATCCTTCTCAAAAGCCTAATGAATTATATCTGATGCATCTGAACAGGATTCTTCTAAAATGTGTATAGATAATCCACTAAGCTGAAGCTCACTAAAGATAAATCATTATAAACCTCAGAAACATCCATATATTTTTGTATGCGTTAAACCTGTTGCTTTAATACCTTAATGCAGATTCCACATCCGATGCAGAGAGACTCTGAGATCCAAACGATTTTACTCTGAGGTGAGACTTCAATACACAGCTTACCTGAGGAAAAAACAAAACAAAAACATTAGACATCAATGATACAGAATACCACGAGCAAATAAAATAAGATCAGCTAAAAACACAGTGCATTTCTTACCCATCCGCACCACAGGACAGCTCTTCTTGCACTCCTGACGGCATTTCTTGGGTTTGCACTTGTCGTGGTTGACGATAGCGATTCTGGTGTTCTTGTCCGCCATTTGCCTGGTTTGATGTTCGCGCACTGGCGACGCAGATCTACAGGAACAGATGAGGTCTAGACCTCACTACAGAGAGAAGGAGAGTTTTGTGTTTAGTTCCATTATCAGCTTACCTGGATAATTCATGCAAAAACACATCAAATGTACAAATTAACTAGGCACTATGGTGGAATATATTGTTATTACTTAATGAAATGTGTACCGTAAACTTTTTTTTTTGAGTGTATACCACACAAATGTACTTACCTGCTCATGTCGGAGCATTGCCAATTGCTTTATATTTTAACAAGTGACTTGCCTTCAACATTCAATATACAAGAATTGTCATTGTTTTTATTATGTGTTTTTGAAGGAAAAGTTTTATATTTCCTTAAAGTGTTTACATATTTATATTTTCATACTTAAGCTTTCTTTTTCTGGGATTTATTTTACAGGGTTTCTGCAGGAAATCATCAAGCCAAATGACTTTTTAAGACCATTAGGAATGAAATGTTAGACTTATGCATTATGCATACTTTTCTAGCATTATTGTGAGGAATCGTGTAATTGTTTTTAGTATTTTTTCCTGATTGGGGAATTTAATTTGAAAAACTTGCTGTTAAAATGTCTAACAGCTGTTAGGAACTGTATCTCAATAAAAAACTTAAATATAAAAATAAGGTTTTATTGAGATGTATTGTTGGGGACTGTATGAGTGTTGGCCTAACTGAATAGCTTTACTTAGACAAAGCAAAATGAAGACCTATTTAAAACGATTTAAGACCTACAACCCAAAACTGCAGTGATTAAAGACTTTTTAGGGGCCTAAAACTTAGTTTTTGAAATTTAAGTTGTATTTTGTATACTATAGTAATATGCTTAAAAACAAAATAATCAAATAAAATCAAGACCTTTTCTTTTCTTATAAGATGAATATTTTGTTATATAAAGCCCTTTTGTACATTTTCTGGAAAAATTACCTTTATATAACCTATATTGTGAAAGATATAGTTACCGTAAAATAAACGTTCTCATACTGTGAAATAAAATTTTAGTCATACCGCCCAGTCCTATTTACAAACAACAATTTTCTTTGATAAAAATTGGTTTATAACAAAAAATACATCTTAAAACACAATAAATCATACTTAAATAAAAAGAAAAATCAAATACTACTTTTTAGAGTTATTTTAATAAAAATTAAACCATTTATGTAGAATAATAATAATCATTTATTAATGTCTGATAACATTTGAAATAGAGCTTTAAAAAAAGCATACAGTGCTCAGCATTAAGGAGTTAAATTAGTATTAAATTAATTAGTGTTAAATTACTTCACAATAATATATTGTGCACATATCAATTAATCAATACTGAAGACAACTAAAACTAAGCAACAAAAAAATAAATAAATAATGAAGATCAGGGACCAAAAATTAGTACCGAAGTTAAAATGTTGGGGAAAAATAATAATAATTAATAATTAATAAACAGAAAAATCAAAAGAAACATAAAAAATTACGTTTGTAAATTATTTGTGCAATAATTAATTAGAATTTAAATGTATTATCTTTTTATTACTAAAAATGTTCAGTGACCAAACTCTTATTTTACCGAATACAACTTTAATAAAACTGTTTTGTTTAAATGCACCAAAATATATTGGCTATATTCACTGAGAAACTAATCAAAATATTCGTTTTCAAAAGAGGGTTGCTCATTTATGCCGAGCACTGTATGCTTGACATTCTTTCATTTTCTTGTCGGCTTAGTCCCTTTATTAATCCGGGGTCACCACAGCGGAATGAACCGCCAACTTATCCATCAAGTTTTTACACAGCGGATGCCCTTCCAGCCACAACCCATCTCTGGGAAATATCCACAAACACATTCACACACACTCACTCATACACTACGGACAATTTAGCCTACCCAATTCACCTATACCGCATGTATTTGGACTGTGGGGGAAACCGGAGCACCCGGAGGAAACCCACGTGAAGGCAGGGAGAACATGCGAAGTCCACACAGAAACGCCAACTGAGCCGAGGATCGAACAAGCAACCTTCTTGCTGTGAGGCGAAAATGCTACCCATTGCGCCACTGCGTCGCCTATGCTTGACATATTGCAAATATTTGACATATTGTTTGCTATTGCAAATATTGACCTCACTAGAACAAGAGAGAAACGATTAATACAAACACCTCCTAAATTAACATATTGCAATAGTGTAAATGAGTCCTATGATTTAGTGAGTGACAAATATAGTGAGACTACGTCATTTTCAGGTTTTAAACGTATTCAAAGAGATAGTTTATCCAAAAATAAAAATGAATCACTATTTACTAACCCACAAGAGCTTCAACAGCTATACGAGTTTCTTTATTCTGTTGAACAAAAGAAAATATGTTACAAACGAGTAACCATTGACTTCCATATAGTAAAAAAATACTATGGAAGTCAATAGTTACTGGAATCTAACATTAAAAATGTTCAACAAAAAAGAAAAAAGAAATCAGATTGTAGGAATGATGATAGAAACTCTGTTTTGGGTAAACTCTCCCTTTAAATCTAATTTTTATTTACTTCAAACACGTATACTGCATTCATAACATTACAAGTTTACTACAACATCATTCAGTTTTACAAACAATGCAAGCCAGGCATTTTACTTAACCCAGTAAGAAACCACCTAGCAACCATTCTGAACACCCTAGCAACCACCCACAATCTCCTTTAAAATCTGGTAATCACCAGCTAGCACACATCAACAATAGGGCACACAGAGGAAACAAAGTAAACTCCAACAAAATACTGTCTTGAAGCAGTTTCTTCCAATCTAAACCCATCTGAGATCCTGGTCTGCTTACTGGTTTCCTCAGTCAACAGTTCAGCATCTGGATGAATGAGGTTGCTGAGTTGCCATATATTTGACAGTGCAGCAATGAAGTCACGTGACAGTCCGTTTAAACATACATACACACACTGCACTGTCATCCAACCCAGCACATACATTATTGAACTGCTAGTGTTACTGTCATTTATTATAGTTCTGTTGAGATAACCTGAGCTTTAAAGGGATACTTCACCCAAAAATGTAAATTTGCTCAGTATTATTTACACTAATTACTATTATATAACCCTTAAGTGGCTCCAAACCTTTATGAGTGTCTTTATTATGTTGAACATTGAAATATATTTTGAAGAAAGCTGAAAATCTGTAACCATTGACTTCCATAGTACATAATACAGATGAGGATAATTTGGTTTTATACTTACATATTCATTCATATTTGAACATTGAAACACTCTATATAACATTGTTTGCATGCTACTATTAATATTGGGTGTGTAATTGCATGCAAGTACAACTCAAAACAACATTAGCACGATTTAATCGACTGTGAACAAACACTGTACTTTGATAGTCATTGGCTGCTAATATGATCTCACTATTCAGAATTAGCAAAGTATACTTTTCTGAAATTATATTAAGGAGAAAGTCAGAATGTGCAAATATAAAACAAACTTTACCCCAATGGTAATAAAAATACAATGGAAGTCAATGGTTACAGGTTTCCAACATTCTTCAAAACATCTTTTATGTTCAACACAAGAAACTCAAACAGCTTTTTGACAAGTGTGAGCAAATGATGACAGAAATGTCATTTTTCTGGGGCTGAAATATCCCTTATGTCTAGACCAAGAGCGTTAAAATAGATGATTGCTCACAAAACTTTCAATGGGACTCGAACATGAAACATTTTACAATCAAATTATTAATTAGTACGTCACAGATCCTATTAATGAATCGTAACCTGCCCGCACCCGAACATATATACACTGATTTACATAATAGACTAACTGTGCATTCATAGATATGACATAATACCTTTATAAACTGTAATAAAAGTGGAGGTTTAATCAAATCGAACACGTGGAGCAAGTGCGCGCGCACGTCATGACTCATTCGCGCGCGCCTGTGAGAATAAACGATGACGCAAGAATTTACCTCAGAGACTTTCCCCCTGCATGTTAACCATACATCCATAACATTACTTCACTCGGTTTTTCTAAAACGCCAGCTTAGTTATTAAACACTTCGATCAGAATGACTTTCATTGAGTATTAGTGGAAAACAACGATATCTGATTGAAACTCAAAGGCCTCGCGCGCAGGGCGGCACACGCACACAGCTGACGCTCCATTTCTCTGTCCAAATATCTTAGAATTTTCTCTTAAGTTTCACAAAATGGCAATAAAACACTGCTCACCTCCCGCTGATGGGAACAGCGCAGTATAACGCGTTAATAAGCGTTAATGTCGTCTTTCTGTATGAAGAAACGAACAGCGCGTGCTGCTCCGGCGCGCACGAGACAACACCGGTAGCAAAGATGGCGCCAGAGCGCAGGACGCTAAAGGGGCGCGACCGAAACCTCTGACGTGATCAAAACGCGCCAGTCCCGGGCAAATGCAAACTGCAGTGTTTACGGTTTTTTATGCCCATTTTAAATGAAAATTACTGCAAAAGTACGCTAGCTGTGGAAACAAACGTAAAGAGAGCAAGTTGACGGAGTGTTTCCGAGTGTCGGTGAGTAAATATGGCTTTGTTTTGCTGTAAACAATCGAGGTAACGTTATACGGACATTTGATTAAACTGCCCTGCGCTTTTATACGATTAAACATTCTAGCCGTTGTTTTAATTTTCCTTTAAATGTATCTGTGTCATATAAAATGTATATTATATGCCATACATTTTGTATATTCTTAGCCTTGTTTAGATTACAATCATGTTTTATGGCACAAT